TATTATTATCGAATGTTTTTATTAAAACATATTGTTGAAATATAATATTAAGACATATTCTTAGATACAAAAATTATTATTAATTTTCCTTTAAAATAAAATGTATACTTTACGTAAAGTTTTACACATTCTATAAAAAATTTCTAAAACAAATATTTTATTTCTAAGATAAAATTGGATACAATAATACTTAAAACAAAGATATACCTGAATAATACCTGAAACCATTATATTGGATAAATAATGTTGTTGAAATCCATTTTGTATACATACAAAATGGATTTCAATATCTCAAATATACATGTATCTTCTAAAATCGTAAGTCGGTGACCGTAAAGAGTAGCGAGGATGGTCAAAGGATTAATATCGGCTTTAATTTTGGCTTTGCCAACACAGGATATCCAGTTCTGTAAACATATAGCTGCATTAAGATCTAATGTACATATAGTCTCTCGATAGCTTCGCACCGCGTCGCCGCTGCGTCGAGGAAGACTGGCGGTAGGGTGTCCGGGGGTAATCGGGGATGGTTCTGCCGCATAAAGGGTCGTGGATATTCGACGCTCCGACAGTAAACGCCGCGATGTCCGTCGGAGACACAACATACAGTGTTCGCATGCGAAATTTCGTGTCACGTGGCTACGAAACGAGACGTATATTTCTTAACATTCATACATAGAGATTAAGGAACAATCAAGGGTTTTGTCTTATATATTTTTTAAATGAAAAACTAAAACGTGGTTAAGGCAAATGCGATGTTATATGTTGAACAATATGGATTTTGTAAAAAAACTTTGATTTATTTACGCTGTGCTGATTAAATATCTATCTAAAAATTGTATTTAAAAAATGTGAATTTAAATAAATTTACTTTAGTGATAATTATGTGCAAAAAATTTGCAAATAAATCAAGTGAAAAACGTTTGAAAATCATGTGCTTGATTGATATGAATTGTATCTATGACAAATACAATTGTCAGAGACAATTGCTGATAATAGATTGCTATAAATGCTAGAAAAAGGTATGCTTTAGTAACAAGTTTTATAAAGTAATCGGACCCTATACAATTTATCTAAGCTTTGCAATTATCTAATCTTTTTTGAATTCAAAACTGATGATTCAAAAGAGAAAACATTGCTGAGTATTAAAAAAGGGTATGACATTTCCTAATATATTTACAATGATGTATTATTTATTAATATGATCTGAACATATGATTTCCTCTTTCTTTTTTTTAAATTAAAGAAATAGAAAATAACGTGATTCAATGTTACTTTTATACGATATATTATAAGTTTAATTGACGTTTAAGAATTAAAAAAAAATTATTTTCTATTCTAAACAATTGACTTATCTCCATGATATTTAGCAGATGTTTAGCAGATGTTTAGAAGACGAATTAGACTTAGAGAATCCATAGTCTAAAATAAAAGTATCAAAAACGTTACAATCAATGTGTGCACACAGTTTGCCTAAGGCATACTAAATTGATCATATTAAATGAACTTTACAAAGAGATTCCTTTATTTGATTATAAAATAAACATTAAAACAATAAAAATATAAACTAAATATATAGTATTGTAAAATATAAGTACATAGCTATAATAAAATGAACAACGGAAATTAATAACAATTTTTTCATAATTAGAGAAAGAATTATTTACCAACCAAATAGTACATCATGACTACAATGCTCCGCATTTTGCATTATTGACAATAACAGAGTGAACAATAACAGACTGAACAGTAAACTGATATATACAATCAAGTCAGATGAACAATCTGCACGACTTATTAGTGCTATCTGTTGAATTCACCATGTAATTATCCATAAATAGTGAATAAGGCATATTGGATATTAATAGGGTTCGGTTATCTTATAAAACTTTTTTGTAAGTAATTTGATAATTATCTATTAAAAAAATGTAATTATGAAATTGTGCAAAATATGAGGGTCATTAAAAATTTTCCAATTTATCATTTATTTATAAAAATATTGTTATATTGTTTTTGTATTTATTTTAAAGTTTAGTTGATATATTTAGTTTAATATATTTATATAATAAGATTCATAAAACAAGATTTAATATGAGAATATTTTAAATAAAATTATTGAAACAATATTTTGTCCAAAAATAAGTATTTTTCATTATTAATAATTTTGTAACAATTTGCTACAAATGGATTTTGATTTAATTTAGATTACAATAAAATTATATTTATTTCTGTATATTAATAAAAAATTTAAATTATATAATATTTGAATAATTAATATGTAATATTAATAAAATAATTTAAAAATAATTTTTTTATGCAAACTTTTCGTAAGCTGCTTATTGTTTTTTCTGTCTTTAATTTAATTGTGTGAAATAGATGAAAAGATAGTTAATGTGGATCGTTATTGAAAAGATTTTCGAAACAATTTTACTTTTTACTACTACTGTTTGTTTTTTCTCAAAAGCTTTATTAAAGACTCTGTATAATGCAATCGCGACAAAACCTGTTGATATAATAAGAATCAGATTGAATAAACATTGAAGCTGTTAAGTTAGTTTCGCTCTACACTCAATTCACGATGAAAAATCGTGATTATATTCAATAAATTTTCATTGTATAAAAAATGATTTTAGAATGTATGATAATTTTTTCAATATAATTATTAAATTTCGAGACCGTTAATCGATAAATGCGTTATCTATATTGTGAAAACTGATTTTGATATATAAAGACAGTCAAAATTTAAAATGCAACATTAGGTATATTTTGAAACTTATATATCACTTATATATCATAATGCTAGTTTAATTGACGAAAGTGAAAAGAATTTTAATAAACACAGGCATACTAGTTACATAAACTTATGTTGATATTTGAAATTATCGAAATATCAGTAATTCTATGACATATATATATAACTATGACACATAGTACTAAAAACTTAGCTTACAAAAAATTGAATATTCCGATTGATGATTAGTATCTATGTTGATTATAATAGTTTTTATGATTTTTTTCTGTTATGAAGTTATCTCTTGATCTAATAGCTTCGAAATATCTTCTATGCTAATATAAAAAACTTATACTATAATAAGAAACTGATAAATGTAGAGGTTATATAATAGAGGTTATATAATACAGATTATATAAATAACTCAAATCGAGCAAAACTGCGATAAGCTTTTGACATGACGTGGACGATATTATTTCCAGATCATAAACTGAGCTTTAGATAAATGACACGAAAATATAGTTCAGGGCTGAAAATAATCTTTCGTTGCTACGAGAAGACTGAACCGAATGAGAATGAGTCGTGCACTTATTAGCGCAGATTGTGTTTAGCCCACTTTTTTGTAACGTAATTGTCTTGAATAACGTCTCATTGCAGAAACTATATAAATTGTCTTACCTATAACAGAAAGTGTATCATTTATCGTGCATTCGTTTTCATACACATTCGATGCATTTCTCGAAAGAAAGTGGGGAATTGCTTTTCAGAAATATTGCGAAAGAAGAAGCGAGAAATTTAAGTTGCAAAAATTAAAAACTTATTTTATCACAATATTGTTATATATTCGAATAAGTTTTATGTTTTATTGTTTAAAGAAATTTGATAAAATCTACAATTACAGATAGTTAAATATTGGTCATTTAAAAATTTATTTTTATTATAAACAAGATTGTAATATAATTTTATTGAAAGATAGAATAACATTCAATTTACATCTTATTACGAATTGCACAACTGTAGGTAATGCAAAAGATAAAATTAAGATCTTGTTTATTCGAATTTCTCTTTTATAGATTAAGCCAAAAACTTAATTAACATTAGTACATTTATTCATTAAAATTAATTAACAGTATATTACATACACAATACATAATGTAAACAATAATTAATAAAAAAATATACCTTGTTTTTGTTTTTGCTAAAAATATATGTTAAATAACAATCGTTATCGTTTCTAATAGTTTTCATGTGACTCAGGAGCACGCCAAGTTTTAAGGAATTGAAGTTAACGTCGAGCGAGGCTAAGTTATCTAGTGTACGAGAACGAGCTTTCATACATCAACGAGAGTAACACCGGTACACTCGGCACGTAAACATCGGAAAATAGACGAACCCATCTCGTCGCGGCTCGTAAATCCTCAGTTGGTCGTGGCGGTAAACACGCGCTCCATAAATTTGGCATAAATATAATTTAAAGTTAGTCGATCGTCATGTAATTTGAAATTGCTGGCGTGAGAAATGGGAACGTAAGCTTAGGGCGCCCGAGAAAGTGAAAAGCTCGCTTATGTAGGTAACATAATCCTCGGTATTCCACATGTGATGATGATGGGACAATGTAATCCTGTGGCGTGGCGGCGATCGACTTAAAGGGGAACTTGATTCGCTTCCGCGACATACGGTCTCTGTAAATCGGAAACTTTTTGCCGGTCCTTCTCTTTCTTGTCTCCTTTCTTCGTGCGAAAGGCGAAAGGATCTCGGCTCTCCTTCCTTCGATTCGCCTTGCATTATTCATGGAGCTGGGCAATCACAATTTCCCCGTGCCCGGTCGTGCGAAGGAGAATTAAAAGCGGTCCGGGTTTCATCAACTCGCCGATTGGTTTGGATCGACGTGCAAATTAATGGCTGTGTTATTCAATTGCGCAAAAAGACGAGAGAGGATGATGGAGTGTTTGCGCTCACAACAGCGTGAATAGCATTACACAGAGTTTTAATATACGGAAATCCGAATTATGAAATAATAATTTATTTCATAATATGCACTACAAGGATTATATTATAATGTTTATATGGCTTTGCAGATTTAAACATTTATTGGAGTTTTTATTAATCTCGTTCATTTATTCGAGATTTAAATTTTGATGAGAAAATTTTGCTCATTAATTTACATAATATTTTTAGAGAATTAATATCGTAATTAATTTTATTTGAATTTTCCGCTACGTAATTTTATTGAGCTACTGCATAACACATTTCGTTCTTTGTTTCTAGATGTTGTGTACTGACGTATTATTTGTACGTTATTCTAAATAATCCTTTGGGGTACAATGTTTCTCATAAAGAATACATATTGAAAACGTTAGAAAACGAAGCTACACAAATAAGTGCGAATGTATAAAAGTGATATTTTTACATACTATAAAACTAACGCTTTCATTTAACAATGATAAACGAATCAAAGACAATGGCATTATTGAGATAATTATGCCAAAAACGACAGCAGAAAAATTCTCATAATGATCAATAAAGCTTGTCAGAACAAAGATCGCATCACCAGTCTCTATACAATGCTAATTTATTGGAAGAAATCGATTCTTCTTCGAGGCGGAGCATGGCGTAAATTGAGAGGACTGTTCAAATTTCGGAAGATATAATATATTTTCCTCGACTTGAAAATGGCACAAATCATGATATAGCATTGGATGAAAAAGATAGGACTCGCACGTCGATTTACGCGCCCATTATTTGATTCTGGGACTTTTCGACAGTTTCGGTCGATATTTGGAACTTGTTGCAGCGCTTGAATCTCAAGAATGAGAAACGTCACGATATTATGGGACACTTCGAGAACTGTTTAGACGGCTTATCCAAGCGGACGTCGAAGAAGTCTTGCGAGAAGGCGTCGCGACGCCTGAGATCCCTGATCGCCAAGGCCAGAAGATGGGGTTTGACAACCGAAGAAGTTGCCGAATTGCCTGCAATAAAGAAGCTGGTGCCAACTCGCGTCACCTCGAGCTCAACCCCATGGACGACTTTGGCTATGATTGCTCTGGTTTTGGGCGGCGGTATAATTCTAGCATACATCTGCACACCTTGTATCACGAGAAACAAAACGTGAGGCTGAAGTGGAGGAAAACTTTATGGTATAAAGGACTCGTTAGAAAATTATCGTTGAAAACAGGTAATTGATTATTCAAGTTTACTTTTAAATAATAAGCTATTTTTTAAATACAACTTGGCCTAATCAAAAAGGTGTAATTTTGGCATAATCAAAAAGGCGCGCCGCGCTGGGATTTACGCCGCAGAAGTCAGAAAAAATAGAAGGAGTGGGAGTAACGTTGTAATAATTAGAATATATTTAAAAACGAAAAATAGTAATATAGAATATATTAGTTTTCGTATATAGAAATTCTGTATAGTAATTCCTCAAATTCCAAATTATATTATACTTTTACAAAATTAATAAATTACCGAATTACAATATTTAAAATTATAATTTTATCATAAAATAATGATTTTTGCAGTTTTAAGAGAAAAAATATATTAAATTCTCTGATTTTTTAAATAAATAGATGTTTTGAATATGTAAATATTTTGAACAACATGTCGCAGATGAATGCGTATAAAAACTGTGACGTATTGTGATAAAAGTTTATTATATACACTAAGCATTTTATTTTCATAAAATATATGTTTATAATAGCTTATTTTTTTATTAAATATAAAATTTATATTTTTTTAATCAAAATCTATTCTTGAAAAATAGATACATATTTTATATCGTACCGAGTATTTATGCATTATTTTTATTATTAATATTTATTTATGTAAAAATAAAAAATTCTACGAATAGCTTATATAGGTATTATATCATGTACACAAAGATGGAATCACATTTAATTTAATAGTTTATGCGTATGTGTAACTGCGAAATCAAAATTTATGTTATCATCACGTTGTCACATTAATATATTATATTAAAATATATATTTTGCATTATAATTATCATACACAAATCTGATATATAATCTATGAGTACATAAAAATAAATTGCAAAAGAATCATTATTTACAATAATAATAATTATTATTAGAATAAATTAAAAAATCAGAATACTTTTCGCATTCAATATAGTTAACCAGGAAGGCATTCCAAAAAAGTTTTTTTCTTAGATGTCTAACAATTTTGACATATATTAAAGTATGACTGTATATTAAAGTACGATCAACCGGTTTTATAAGTGTATTGTTACGATTAAGAAATAGTTGAACGATGATTTCTTGCCTTTTGGATCACAGCTGCTGCTGTGACAATTGAATTAAGAAAATGCGGAATTGTGGTAGTATTATATTGAAATTGTTTGGCTCACTAAAGATAGCTTAAATTTGAAGCCGAAACGTACCTTAATTTAGGGTAACTCTGGCAGATACGCCACAGAAATCAGAAAAAATAGAAGGAATGGGAGTAATTTTCCCGCAATTACTCTGTTAAATGCCTTTATGTTGTATTAATATTGTGTTATGATTTCAGTTTCTTACTGTTAATATTAATGAAAATTAATATTATTGAATCGAGTTGAATCGATTTATCACTGTAATAAGTAACATCATCATAAATTAAAGTCTACATAAAATGATTATTGTAGGGCGTATGAAAGACTTAGTAGTTATTTCGTAATACGTGTAGTGGAATAGTAAAGAGGTTGTATAACAAAATACAAATAGTTTGCTCTTGTAGTTTTTGTTGTCTTGTATATCCCACCCCTGTTTAGGATATATAGCGAGCGGAATTTAATAAAATTTTATTAACACACATATTATAAGTTATTGTGTCATTTTACGTCTTATTTATATGCATTATTTGTAAATTTTTCATAAGCCATACATACTCCCCCTATGAGTAGCCATTTATCCCACCCTTATGAGATATATGGCAAAAATGCAAGGGTGTTTCAAAAAGTTTATTTTTTATTCAAGTACTAAAATATTATTATATAATTTTTTTTTTCGAAATGTGTGAATTATTATTTTTTTATTAAATATAAAATATACATCCTTTCTGTGTGTATGTGTGTATCTTTTTAAATCTCTTAAACAATAAATAAATTTATGTATGTTCATTTTTTTATAGTTCTTTATATTCTTTACTTTTATTATCTATTTTTTTTTAATTTTATTACTATATTATTACATACTATATTATTTATTACTACATTATTTATTTATTATTATATTATTATAAAACAGACGGCATATATTGCTTTATATAAAAAGATAAAATTCAGAAAAGATTGATAAAATCACGTATTAAAATATTACATTAAATTTATGTATAAATCACATTTTCCATATAACTTTGATAATTCAATATAAGTTTTGTAATTACTTTTTTTTAAGTTTTAAAATCAAAGATGTATGTTTATTATAAGAAGGCTTTAACAAAATCAGTTTTTTTATATAAATGTAATAAAATTGCATGCTTAAAATTCGAATACATGTATTTGTAGTAGTTTATTTTAAATTGTTAGTTTATATGTTTATAATACTTATTTATTGTTTCATTTCAATTTTCTTTATTGTTTCATAATACAAAATGTAATTACATTAATCTTATTAGGTGTTGGAATTAATTCGTAGCGTTTTACAAGTGATGGGAAGTACTTTCATTAATGTATTTTTTAATGCTCATGTGAAATAAATAACATTCTTTCATTAAAAAACGCTACGAATTAATTCCAACACCTAATAGATTCTTTTGTATCTCAAAATTTGATAATAATATACATAATATCTATATAATGCTGATAATTACTGTCAAATTATTATATGAAAATTTATTTTACATAATTTGATGATTGATCTATAACAGAAATAAATATAAAATGTCAATAATTAGTCTTATGTACAGGGTTTCCCAAAATTATAGAAATCACATAATAATTTTTCTAAAAATGAAGATATCTCTCTCTCTCTCTCTCTCTCTCTCGGAAAATTGTAAAACACGTGTTCTGATATTTCCAAAAAGCTATATGTATATTTTGACATGAGTGCTGATTTATTCCCAGGGTGAGCACGCGAAGGCGGGAGGATATATGTAACTTATACATATTTGTTTATACACGAATGAATTAATCAAGAAAAAAATAACATCAATTATGTCAGAATTTTATAAAAGACTTATTATAAATATCATTTTTAATAGTTCCGAATAAGTTGACAGTTTTTTTATTAAAATTTTTAGGATAAAAGTGCATAAGAATTTAATTAATCGATCTCGTATTATTTGCAAATTATTTGATTTTGCTATCGAGCGCTCATATTGTCAGTCGATTCAATCAATATTGCGTGTGCCTCGCAGCCGTTTACATACATCTATTCCACAATGTACCAAACAATTGTTATGTTTCATTTAATTAAGATTTGAGGAAGAACAGGAGTTGATTATATAGAATTTAAAGCAACCAATAAGATATCTTTTATTTTAAATATTTTAGATAAAATATCACGATCGAAATGTTTACTAATTTTTAATATTGTACAATAAATTTATACACATACACGCTGAATCAGTATTGGCTGTTAAAGGCACTTGATATTACTTGATCTGAAATATATTTTTCTATAAAAGAAAATATTATCTCTATTATTCAGCTACCTCGATAATTCGACCTATGGCTGGTTTACATGGTCGGATAATCAAGATATCGAGGAAAATTAATGCATTTGTTTTTTTATGTGTATAGTGTGAGTGTGTGTTGTTGTGTGCAAAATGACAAGTCTAAAATTAAAAAAGAACTTAATAAAATATTAGGTGTTGGAATTAATTCGTAGCGTTTTACAAGTGATGGGAAGTACTTTCATTAATGTATTTTTTAATGCTCATGTGAAATAAATAACATTCTTTCATTAAAAACGCTACGAATTAATTCCAACACCTAATATATCCCTAATAAAAGTTTATTTTCGATTGTGAATCTAATATTTACTTATAATCCTCTTTACTGTTTCTAAAATATAAAGGGCAACCGCATTACTATCAAGTTTTGTTATCATATTAATGAAATGGTATTTATTATTAAAATAAAAAGAAATAATTTATCCATAATAATAGTTTTTTTTTATCTTAGCTTGTTAAATTATAATATTTGCTTATATAATTCTTTTCATTGTCTCTTAAATATAAACTGCAACTGCATTTACTATCAGTTTTTCTGCAAATGAAAAATTAATGTTATTATAATTGTATAATAACAGTTATATTATATTATGATAATAGAAATTTTTAATAACTTGTTATATTATTATTATGTTAATATTTTAATATATTAAAATAAATTTTGATTTTCTCCTATACAAAAGAAGAGTAATTGTTATAAACGCTTAAAATGTCACAATTATTTGAATTAATTGAGAAAATAACGCTCAGTCACATCATTGAAAATATAATAATAAGAATAGACAAAATTATAGTTGAAAAGTGTATAAAAAACAATTGACATAACGTGTTACTATAATATGTTACTATAATGCAGATATAATAAACTATACGTGCTTTAAACTCAGAAAAGTGTGCGATATCTTCTCTCAAATCACACTTTAAGGACACAGCGGAATATAATACTCATACAGAGGACATGTAGGCCACGTTGAAAGTTTTGCAACTTCTATGACGTGTGATTCAGTTATCGCCATCGTGATAAAAATTGACATTAATAGTGTGATTATCAAATATGTATAAAACTTGACGTAAATTATAAGCAGGTATTACAAGTAATTATAAGCGGTATAGAAGTGTGAAGTAATCTCAGAAATATTTCAATTCGCTATTACTTTCCTAAAGCATAAAATTTTTATTATGTTTGTAATAATTTATGTAGAGAAAGAAAATTACAAAATAGCGATTAATTAATTGCTTATAATTAATCGTCTTAATTTTTAATCTTATAGATACAATAAAATATGCTTAACCCTTATGATTAGCAATTATTATTACTTCACTAAACAAAAAATTTACTATATCTTAAACAATATTTTTTCAAATATTTACAAGTAAACATTTATTAAATGTTAACATATATTTATTTGATACGAAAACCATTAATTCGATTTAACTTATATCATTTTTTTCATTGAGTAAATATTTATTTATACTATAAGTAAATGTTTACTTACAAATATTTAA